TAGCTGGTCTGTTCCCAAGCACAACATCTACATGTTAATGCTTATCAGAAAACCAATAAATACAGCATGGTGAAGCCCTCATGTAATTGCGTCTCTGAGAATTTTGAGTTTTCCATCATATTAATATCAATTCGGAGCCTATAAGACAAACACATCTGAGGTGTCATGGGAGGGATTGCTTAGATAAAAGGAGACCATAGCTCCAGTCTGGTAGCGTAGTGGTTACGAATCGGGCTGCGAACCTTAAGGTCAGCGGTTCGAAACTACCAGCCGCTCCGCGGGAGAAAGATGAGGCTTTCTACTCCCGTAAAGATTTACACCCTCGGAAACCCTGTACAGGGTCGCTATGGGTCGGAGCCGACTCGATGGCACTTAACAACAACAACAACATAGCTCCAGTAGGCAGCCAAAACTATCTGTAGTCAGTTCTGGGAGACATGATGTTAAATGGTGGTGCAATGATTAAAGTGCATGCCTGCTAACTAAGAGATAGGTGGCTCAAACCCAACAGTAGCTCCATGGGAGAAGGCTGTGGCAGTCTGCTTCTGATTTAGAGCCTTGGAAACCCTATGGGGCAATTCTATTCTAAGCGACAGAGTTGCTATGAGTTGCAGTAGACTCAACGGCAGTGGGTTTAGTTTTGAATGTAGGTCTGGAATCCATGAAGGGTGTAAACAATTAAAGCATCCTATACTCCCGTAAAGATTTACACCCTCGGAAACCCTGTACAGGGTCGCTATGGGTCGGACCCGACTCGATGGCACTCAACAACAACAACAACAACAACTGCTAACTGAAAGGTTGGAGGTTTGAGTCCAACAAGAGGTGCCTTAAAAGACACACCTGACTCTTTACTTTTGTAAAACCAGCCACGGAAAACCCTATGGATCTTAGAGTTCTGCTCAGACATACATGGGTTCACTGTGAGTTGGCGATAACACCATCACAACTGGGTTTAGTAGGTGTAGACATTATTGGTATGGAAGTCATGTCTCAAGTGGATACAGAATTGAAAATATTTCAGTATGAAGAAGAGAAGACAAAGTGGTAAGGCACAATAGTTATCTTGCTAATTCTAGCAAATGTGCGAGAAACCATTTGTACACTGATTTGAAAATATACTAGTCTGACATGATTTATGGGTTCTCAAGCTCCTCCCCTTTTTTCCACCTTGTCTGGTTTTCCTATTGGATCTGCCATGATCAGGTCTGATATTTGGTCAGCTTCTCAAAACTAAGGCACTGTGCCAGGAGATAGGTCAACTGAGTTCTAATCTTAGCACTACCAGAATTTTGTTTGACTTTGTGCAAATATCCTGATCTTTTTGGGCTACATATTTGATACCGCTACCTAATTTCCAAGGAGCTCTGGTAGCATAGTGGTTACGAATTGGGCTGCTAATATCATGGTCAGCAGTTCAAAACTACCAGCTGTTCCAAGGGAGAAAGATGAGGCTTTCTGCTCGTGTAAAGATTTACAGCCTTGGAAACCCTGTACAGGGTTGCTATGAGTCAGAACTGACTCCACAGAACATAACTACCACCACCTAATTTCCAGACTGAAATAAGAGATCATACAAATGAGCTCATTAAAATCAATAAGGTATCAGAAATTATTGCTGCTAATTATTACTATTACCATATTATAGTATAGCATACCCAGACACTGCCATTGAGTCTATTCTGACTCATAGTGATTCTATAGGACAGAGTAGGAACGCTTCACTGGGCCTCTGAGACCATTAACCTTCATGGGAACAGTCTCAGTTTTCTCTTGTGGAATGCTTGGTGGATTAGAACCACCAGCCTTTCAGATAGCAGCCCAATGCATAACCCATGGAATCACCAGGGCTCCCTATAATACATTATAGTTTATAATAATAGTAATACAATAATAATAATATAATGATTAGTAATGCTATAGTTTATAACAAACAATTGCTATTACTGATTATTACTAGTCCAACACTCAGCTGTCAGTTTGTCGTACTGTGGTGACTTGTATATTGCTGTGATGCTGGAAGCTATGGCACTGGTATTTCAAATACCAACAGGGTCACCTATGGTGGACAGGTTTCAGCAGAGCTTCTAGACTAAGACAGATTGGGAAGAATGACCTGGTCATGTACTTCTTAAAAAATTGTCCTGTAAAAACCTATGGAGAGCAGCATAAGATTGTCTAGTACAGTGCCAGAAGATGAACTTTTCAGATTGGAAGACACTCAATATTTGAGGAAGCGCTTCATCCTTAAGGTATAGTTGACCTAATGACATGGATGTAGTAAAGCTTTCAGGACCTCCATTTGCTGATGTGGCATGATTCAAAATGGGAAGAAATGAACCAACTTTATGACATTTAACAACAACCACAACACATAGAGGATCAAGGAGCTCTGGTAGTGTAGTGAATTATAAGCTGGGCTGCTAACCACAAGGCCAGCTGCTTCAGGGTTGAAAGATGAGGTTTTCTGCTCCTGTAAAGATTTATAGTGTCGGAAACCCTATACAGGGTCTCTGTGAGTCAGAACTGACTCGGTAGCACACAACCACTACCACCGTATAGAAGATCAGTTAATACAGTTACTATTCAAATGTACACACCAACCACTAGTATCAAAATGAAGAATTTGAGGATTTTTACCAACTTCTGCAATCTAATACTGATGAATTATTGGAATTTGGAATGCAAATTTCAGAAAGAAAGAAGAAGGATTAGTAGTTGGAAAATACAGCCTTGGTGATAGAAATGGCAAGATAAAACTTTGAAGACCAATGACCTATTCATTGGAAATATTTTTCAAAGCACTGGACTGCTAAGCACAAGGTCGTCAGTTCAACCCACCAGCCACTCCTTGTAAAACCCTCTACATGGTCCCTATGAGTCAAAATCAACTCGATGGTACTTAACAACAGTACATGTGGACCTTGCCCTATGGAATGCAAAGGAATCAAATAAACTAAATCTGTGGAAAGAGGTGACGGGGTGCTCAATATCATTACAACATGACCAGGGACCAACTGTGGAACAGACCATCAGGTGGTTGTATGCAAGTTTAAGTTGAAGACAAGGAAAATTAAATCCAGAGGACCAAAGTACAATCTTGAGTCAAAAACACCTGAATTTAGAGACCATTTCAAGAGCAGATTTAATGCATTGAACAGTAGTGACCGAAGACAGGTGAGTTGTTAAAATGCTATTAATAACATCATACATGATGAAAACAGGTCATTAAAAAGACAGGAAATAGAGAAAATACAAAAATGGATATCAGAAGACACTCTAAATCTTGTTCTTGAATGTAGAGTAGCTTCAGTGACTGGAAGAAATGATAAAGTAAAAGAACTGAATAGAAGATTTCAAAAGGTGATGCAAGAAGAAAATGTAAAGTATTTTACGGTAATGTACAAAGACCTGAAATTAGAAAACCAGAAAGGAAGAACATGCTCAGCATACCTCAAACTGAAAGAACTGAAGAAAAAATTCAAGCCTCAAGTTGCAATATTGAGGAATTCCATGAGCAAAATTTTCACAGGCGAACCAATAGACAAGATCATGATAAATGGAAGGAATACTGAAGTTGTCAAGAATTTAATTTTCCTTGGATCCATAATCAACACTCATGGAAACAGCGGTCAAGAAATCAAATGATGTATTACATTGGGCTAAAATCTACTACAAAAGAACTCTATGAGATGTTGAAGAGCAAAGACGTCACTTAGAGGGCCAAGGTGCACCTGACCCAAACCATGATATTTTGAATTGCCTCATATGCATGGGAAAGTTGGACAATGAATAAGAAAGACCAGATAAGAATTAATACATTTGAATTATGGTGTTGGTGAAGAATATCGAAATTACCATGGACTGCCAGAAGAACAAACACATCTATCTTGGAAGAAGTACAGCCATAACGTTCCTTAGAAGCAAGGATGACATGAATTCACTTTATGTACTTTGGACATGTTGTCAGGAAAATGACATCATGCTTGGTAAAGGAGAGGGTCAGCAAAAAAGAGGAAGCACTTCAGTGAGATGGACTGACACAGTAGCTGCAACAATTTGGACTCAAACACGGCGAGGATTGTGAGGGTACCACAGAACCAGGCCACCGGTGCTACGTTTATTTGTACATATGGTCAGTAGGAGCTGGAACCTAACCACAACAATTACTACTAGTAATCTGTGACACACCTGTTGGGGACGGTAGCCTTCAACATTCATGCTCTCACTAACTCTAGACTGCATATTTTTAGACTTTCTGTAATGCTACACTGCTGTTTTTCATTTTAAATCCAGTCTGGCTTCTGCCCTTAAAACCAGAGGACTTTCAAAGTAAGTGGCTGGTAGTATAACTGGCACATATATCGAATCTCCTTAGTCTGGGCTGTTAAGTAAGTTTAATTAATTTACTAAGTTAATGTTCCACTGCTAGCAACAGAACCTCATTGCCATCAGCTGGGGAGAGGGAATTGAAAGCCTAAATGAGCTCATTTTTTCACAGTTGGAATTAGGGACCAGTTAGCCAGTTGTGTGGGTTTTCCAATTTCTCCATCTGCCCTGGGGGGATTCAGGCAATTCACTCCCCCAACAAGAAGTGTGAGTAAGAGGAGGAAAAGGGAAGGGGGAAAGAAAGAAAGAAAGAAAAAACCCAACTTTTCCCCAATACTTGCTTCCATTTTTGGAACTGGAAACATTGTCTGAGCTTTGCTTGTTGAGCTGGGCTTGGAGATGCTTTTGCTAATGTTCCTGATAGATTTGGAAAGGAGAAAGGCCTCAGTGAAAGATATTTACCACGTGCATTTTCATTGCAGGGTGTGCAGATAAAGGAAAACAAATAAACAATAAAAGAATGGAAACAAAATTACAGAAATTTGCAAAATTTGACAAATGGTGGCCTGTAGTTGCCACAAGCTAATGGCTTGCAATGATTAATAAGAGTAAAAATAATTGCATTTCATTAAGATTGATGACACCCCATTTAACCTCCCCTCTCGTTTCAGCCCTAAAGTGGAAAGAGATGAAGTTCTCATCTATAATAGCTCCTGTAACATTACCATGGAAACTGAGGCAGAGATGGAGTGTGAGACGCCTAATCAGCCAATTACCGCCAAGATTACTGAGATATGGAAAAGCCGGGGCCAGAACACTCAGGTATAATCAAATCTTTTTTACAGACTGATTCAAACAGCTCAAATTAAATTTGTAATATTGTGTACATTAAAAAAACAATTTAGTCCAAATGGCAGCGATATATAATATTAAATGCTCTCAAACTTTGAGGAGCTGGTCTAATGCACAACATCTAAATTCATAGTTAACTATGGTTAATCATATATTTTCTTAAAAATAAATGAGTACTGCCTGGCTCCTTTGAAAACAAATTCTGAACAAATAATCTCCTCAGCATTTTGTCCTGTTTTCTGTGTGCGTGTTCAAAAGGGGCTCTCTGGAGTTTTATTCCTTCATAAAATAAATACCCTACAATTTAACCAGACCCTTTGCAGTTGGAAGACTTCCAAATCACTCAGCTATCTTCAGCATGGCGGGATGGCAGTGTCTGCTGGTCTGTCCGGTTTATTTCTGTTTCATGGGGAGGCAGACTGGAAACTGCAGATTCTGAGGGAATTACATGGAAATTATGACTGAAAAGGACCTTAGGGTCATTTGATCCAGCCTCTCCACTCTTCAGTTTTGTCTACACCACTCTCTCCAAGTGGTTGATCTAAGAATATGTTCTTAAAACTCCCCAGTGAGAGATTCCTTAGCCTCCTTAGGGAGTTTGCCAGAACTGAAATCAGAGGCTGAAGGCTCTTTGGAATGACAATTTTTTACAACTCCCAAGACTTCTTACGGTACACAGATAAAAAAAAATAATATTTATTGAGCACCTACTCCCTGGGGTGTATTTCTCTTTATGAAAGCAATTCCCAGATTTTCCTCTCTTTGTTTTATGTGGAACAAACATTTATTGAGTGCCTATTATGTGCACCATCCCACACTAGGTTCTCTCTCGTGAATGCTGCTTCAGTTAAACCTTCTCAATCCCAAACTATACTTACTGATTCCCAGTGCATTCGTTTCTACCACTCTTGGCATGGGGCTGAAAACTACATACAATTACAAGAGTGTGGTTGTCCTGGCCTTTCTAAACTCCCGCCTGTCTGCCTTCCCCACTGTCTTGGGGCCTTGCATTCTCCCATTCTTTCTCCTGTCCAAACTCATCACCTTCCTTTACCTTCCTTCTTGTGGCTGCCCATGACTGTCACTTCTTGCTTCATTGTTTCCCCATAATAACCTTTTCTTTTTAATTCATTGCCAATTTGAATTCTTCATCCCTGACACCACCCTCTTCTAGTCGTAGTCTCCACCTCTCTTCTGTGCCCCTTTCTCAGAAGCTGGTTTTCATTGATGTCCCAGGGGTTTATTGTAAGGAGGTGGGACTGCTGAATCAGTGCTGCATGGTGCAAAGAGACATGTGGTCAGATGACCCGTATGCCCAGCTGTGGGACATGGGGTAGCCTTTAAATCTTTCTGGGTCTCAATTTCTTCCCAGGTAATGGCATGGCATTGCAAATGCTCATGGGAAGGAGGGAGAGGCCGGTGAGTACAGTGGTTTAGGGTGTGGGCTTTGGAGTTAGACTGTTGCTGTTTACATGCTGCCGAGTCTATTACAACTCATAGAAACCCTGTACAGGGTTTCCAAGGAGCAGCTGCTGGGTTTGAACCACTGACCTTGTGGTTTGTTGTCCAGTGCTTATCCTATAGTACCACACTAGGGCTCCTAGACGTTAAAAGTAATGACTTGTTACCTGGAGGACTGACTTAAGTTATTAATGTTTCTGTGCTTCAATTTTCACATCTGTAAAGTGGGGACAAAAATAATTTAAAAGAAACCATTACTGCCAAGTCAATATTGACTCATAGTGACTCATATGATAGAGTAGAATGGCCCCATAGGGTTTCCAAGGCTGTAATCTTTATGGTATACACAGATTCACTGTATGAAAAAGAAATGGTCGATGTTCAAACACTTTACGAAGTAGCATGTGATCAGGTACTAATGGTACTGAAGGAAGAAGTCCAAGCTGCACTGACAATATTAGGAAAAAACAAGGATCCAGGAATTGGCGGAATACAAATTGAAATCCTGCAACAAACTGATACAGCACTGGAGTTGCTTAATCTCCTATGCCAAGAAATTTGGAAGACAGCTAACTACCTTGCCAGCCGATTGGAAGAGATTCATACTCATGGCCATTTCAAAGAGAGATATCCCAGTAGAATGCTGAAATCATCTAACAATACATGTAAGGTTTTGCTGAAGATAACTAAATGGCTGCAACAGTACACCAACAGGGAATTGCCAGTAACTTAAGCCAGATTCAAAAGAGAATGTAGAACTAGGAACAACATTGATGATATCAGATGGATCTTGGCTGAAAGCAAAGAATGCCAGAAAGATGCTTACTTGTGCTTTATTGACTATGGAAAGGATTTTGAGTGTATGGATCATGACAAGCTATGGATAACATTGCAAAGAATAGGTATTCCAGAACACTTGATCATACTCACGAGAAACCTGTACATAGTCTAAGGGGCAGTCTTTAAAACAGAACAAGGGAACACTGAATGGCTTAAAGTCAGGAACAGTGTGTGCCAGGATTATATTCTTTCACCACACTTATTCAATATGTGAGCAAATAATGTGAGAAACTGGATTATATAAAGAAGAACATGACATCAGGATTGGAGGAAAACTCATCAACAACCTGCAATATGCAGATAATACCACCTTGCTTGCTGTAACTGAAGAGGATTTAAAATACTTATGGATGAAGATCAAAGACTACAACCTTCAGTATGGATTGCACCTCAATGTAAAGAGAAAAAAAAAAAAAAGCCTCATTACTGGACCAATACATAACAACATGATAAACAGAGAAAATATTGAAGTTGTCAAAACCTTCATTTTGCCTAGATCCACAGTCAACACACATGAAAGCAGCAGTCAAGAAATCAAATGATATATTGCATTAGGCAAATCTGCTGAACAAGGCCTCTTTAAAGTGTTGAAGAGCAAAGATGTCAGTTTGAGGACTAAGGTGTTCCTGACCCAAGTCATGACGTTTTCAATAACCTCAAATGCATGTGAAAGTTGGGTAGTGAATAAGGAAGACCATAGAAGAATTATGCATTTGAATTATGGTGTTGGAGAAGAATATTGAAAGTACTGTGGACTGCCAGAAGACCTAACAAATCTGTATTAGAAGAAGTACAGCCAGAGTGCTCTTTAGAAGCCAGTATAGCAAGACTTCATCTCTCATACTTTGGACATGCTGTCAGGAGGGATCAGTTCATGGAGGACATCATGATGGGTAAAGTGGAGTAGCAGTGAAAAGGAGGGAGACCCCTAATGAGATGGAGTGGCTCAGTGACCATAGCAATGGGTTCAAGCATAACAATTGTGAGGATGGCACAGGACCAGGCAGTGTTTCATTCTGTTACTATGAGTTCATAAGTTTCTACAAGTTAGAACCAACTTGGCGGCACCTAACAACAACAATCTTTATTGAAACAGAGTGCCTCATCTTTGTCCCAAGGAGCAGTTGGCATGGTAGGGATAATAACAGAACTTTTATGATTAGAGCCCCTGGGTGCTTCAAAAGTTAATTTGTTAGAGGTTCATTTCATCCAGAAGTACCTCGTTGAAAGACCTGATGATCTACTTCTCAAAATTCAGCTGTTGAAAACCTATGGGGCTCTTTTAGTAAGCAACCTGAGGTGACCTTGCAAAATGGTTCATTACTTACTTGATATAGAAAACGCCACAAAATCATGTAAATTAAATCAAGAAGTTCAAATTTTAAAGTCCATTTTAAGAATTGCCATGAAACTGCACAGCACATCAAGGATATGCATATCAGAAAAGCCGCCAAGTATTTGAACGATGCTACTTTGCAGAAACAATATGTGTTGTTCTGATGATGTATGAGGAATTTGGTAGATATACCTAGGCTGAACAGTGGGGTTGGCCACAGAGCTCTGAAGTTTTCTTGCACTTGAGCAAAAATGCAGAGTGATGCTGAGTTTAAGGGTTTAGATGTAGATTCTCTCATCATTGAGCACTTCCAGATGAACAAAGCCCCCAAGATGTACCACTGCACTTAAAGAGATCATGGTGGTTGGATGAACCCACATGGGAGTTCCGTCTGCCACATTTGGATGATCTTTACTGAAATAGAACTAACTGCTCCTAAGTCAGAAGAGGAGGTTATACAGAAACAAAACAAAACACAACAAAAACATGCCAGAAGAAACTGAAGAAGCAAAAATTCTGAAGTGGTTGATAAGTATATGGTGAGGATAACAACACTAGTGAGGTATTGTCACCATGGAATGGTCAAACATTCAGAATCAAAAGAGCCACATTCAAAGGACAATGTTCAAATGGGTTTGGAAGGAGGATAGAATGAAAATAAGAACCACAGGAAGGAAGTGGGATAACTGTTGTTACATGGAGGGGATTGCAATCGTTTAGATGAAGTAAAGTGTATGATTTGTTGAATGTAAATCTGATGATCCGCTCTGTAAACTTACACTAAAAAAAACACAGCAAAATAATCCACAAAACAGCAACAATCAAACACACAAAAAATAAACACTATGGCTTTGGAGAATGTTCAGTTTAAACTAAAATGTAAGTAAAAGTAAAAGCAGGAAAAAAAACAACCCTTTGTAGCACAGTTCTACGCTGACAGACATGGGTTCACCATGAGCTGGAATTGACTTTGACTCAATGGCAACCTGCTTTTTAGTTTTTAATTAGGATGGTTCTTAAGGATTACAACATGTAAGCTCCTGAGAACTGTGCGTCCTACCTCATAAATTCTCACTTAGCCATTATCGGTAGTAGTGATAACAGTTATCTAGTAGACATTGACTAGTTAGAGCAGCAGTTAGCTAGTAGTGATGGTTATGTGCCATCATCACATTAGTTCCTATTGACACATAGTAACCCTATACAGAGTTTCCAAGGTTGTAAATTTTACAGAAGCAGAAAGCTTTAGCTTTCTCCTTTGGAGCAGCTGATAGATTCAAAATGGCTGTAGGGTCATTTCAACAGAGTTGAATGGAACTTTGGACACCATGCA